AGTTTGCTTAAGACCACTTCAACATGAAAATCTACTGTAGTCTTAAAAATGGGAAAGCACTATTTTGGTTTACTTTCAGAATAAACCAAATAATTATTTATGCGAGTTAATTTGGTGGTTCCACGTATTTGATCATACACTTTGCTATTTGACCTCCAGATTCCTTTTCTTTTTAACGGTTCTAATTGGTTTGGATTTAGGGATCTTGCCAACAGCTAGCAGGGCTGACAGTCAGTCTGGAGCTCTTGCACACAGCCGGAGCAGCAGCAAGGGGAGCGCAGAAGAAATCACGGCCCAGCCGAAGCACAAGGATCTGGCTGTCAATGTGCGACAGAAGATGCTTCTGGACTACAATGTCTATATGGCCAAATGCATTCCACGGGAAAAGAAAAGCCCTTCAGGTAGTCCAGTCGTCAGTGCAGAGAGCAGCCCTACAGCTGTGAAAAAGGTAATACTTTCCCCCACCAAAAGATGCATCAGAGGTGGTATTATATATTGTCTTCTTAACTGCTGCTTTAAAAATAAGTTCTCTGGTGTGTGGGGGGAGAGGTTATATTTTAATCTACAGTTTGGACCCAAATGTATTCATCACCGTTTGACAACAGTTGCTTTTCACTGTAGCATGCAAAGGGGCCATAGATTTTCTTCACTAGGAGCAACACAGGTATATCCTAGAAAGCATTAGTCCCAAAAGAATTAGAAATTGCATCTTGACAGCTAATGCTTAAGATCAAAAGAATAAAAATCGGATCACTTCCCAGTAGTTTACTAATAATAGTACAAAGTTAATAACTTTTTATTGGTGTATATTCTAAAATAGATGGAACTAAAAGCATATTTTTGAGGCCTTGGCTTGCTGAAGCAATGTAAGTGCAATTTTAGTACATAGTAGTTGGTCTTCATTTTCTGCTGCCTCTGGAGAGCTGCACGACCTAAGATTCCTGACTACATCTGAACATGTTCCCTCATCCCCATGTGTGACTGGGATAGATTAATCCTATGACAAAAGTTTAAGTTAGCTCTTGATTTTAGCAGTTTTTCCACATGGATATTACATTATAAATTCTGCTTAAGAAAGTGCTTAACCTCTTCAGTTCTTTCTTTGGGGGTGATGTCCTAGCCCTGTTGCCGTGATCAGAGCCAGGAATTTGCCTTCAGCACCTTCCTGTGTAGCTGCAGTTTCGCGACAAGCGGGGCAGCTTTTACTGTGGTATCCCCACTGTTTGGCCTGATTGAGGGACAGAAGTGGACTTGGCTTTCGTATAGGACTACGGCTTGCTTTGGGTAAAGCCTGCTCTAAAAGGCCTAAGGCACAGATGGATTGGTCATACTTAATATGTATGGTTTCTGTTTTACAAATGTCTTTTAAAAGAGTGGCTGATGTGTTAGTCTTGCGCAGTACGTAACAGCCTAATAGTCCCGCCAATAGCAGTAAATATTTCTTGGAGCTCTTAGACTGCAGAGCTACTTGTTAAAACATCGATGAATCTCTCTTAACAAATGAAGCCATCATATAAAGTATGATCATTGGTTCATATGAAAATTGTAATTCGTGCCGTACATCTTTGTTGCCAGGCTTTGATACAGCTTCCAGAAAAGGTGCGGGAGGCCGTGATACAGCGCGTGAATTAATGTGGCCCATGGCACCTAGGAAGGGAGGCTCTAGCCCCCAACAGCCCTGAGGCAGTGGTG